GAAGGCTCTGCTCCCCACCCCGGCCTGGGCCCCAGCCCGGACCCCAGCCCGGGGGAACCGTCTCCTCTCCCCTAAATCCTCATTTATTTCCTTAGAAGAGGCAGCGGGACGCGCGGGCTCTTCCCGGGAGACAGCTCACATGTCCCCATCCCAACTGGCACTGACAGCCAGCCGCTCGGGAGCCAGCCCATCGCTTCCATGACCAAATTCTTTCTCCTAACCGAATTCCTGTGACCTTTAGGTCTTTCAGGCAAATAGTATCCCTGCCAGCACCTCCCACTACTCCTGAATAAACTCTTTGTCAAAGCAGGTGAATGCGATCCACCGACGTCCGGTTTAACATCGTTGCGATGATGCGGGTTGATGGGGTTTGTCATCGTTACCTCTGGGAGAGTCTCGGTGGCATCTCTTATCCTTGGGCATTCAAGTCTCTCAGCTGTTTTCCCGTTAGACCTGATGCTTTGGTCAGCCTCGTCCTGGGGAGCAAAATGCATTTATTTAGTAGCATTTGGTGTAGTTCCTCTGGCTTTTTAGTTTGCTGCCCCGTGAGATGTTGCAAAACAAAGCAGGGTTCTGGAGCCTGGTCATTTCGTGTGCTATACGTGCTTGGTTTGGGGAATTCGTAGGGAATGGAAAGGTTTGGGCACTGTCTGTGCGTGCAAAAACAATGTTTTCTTCTGACTGAGGCGTTCATGGCCCATGGAACCCACAAAGGCTCTGTTCTTGTATCATACAGGAATTATAATCTATAGGCCACAAAATTGCTTATATTTATCAAAAAGAGTAGACAAGTACACCTGCTTTCTGGTTTTGTGGTTTAATTTTGTGTGAGTTTCTTTCTTGGCTCTGTTAGGAGACAGGTAAGCGTGGAGACTTGGGTGTCAGTAGCCCCACTCACGCTGATAAACAGAAATTGATGTTTTGTGTCTCATCTTGCTACCATTGACACCGATCGCTATTAAGGAGCACTGACATACTGTCTAAAAACTGTATTTCCAGTAAAAAGGAATGGTCTGGTAGATAAATCATTTGGCCTTTTACTCTGGAGCATTGCAAAGACTTCAGCCAAGCTGCTGAAAACTTCTCTGTCCCTCCAACTCTTCCCCGGTAACGTCTAAATAATCTGTCTTTCAGGTGGTTTTTTTTGTATTTACCTCCATATTTTTAAATTTGGTACAACAGTTTAATGACGTGGCACCTTAAAATATTCTCTCTGTATGATCTTAGCACCTTTAATTTATTAAAATAGGGTTTAGGAATCTGATTCATCCTTAATGTACATTCTTTTTGCTCCATCGCTGCCTATTTGCGCTCAATTACTAGGGAGTTCCATTCCTTGGCTCTCAAATGCTGCCTTCAGAGCACAAGGCAACAATTACATGCAGAAGGTCTTTAATGTTGTGACAATAATAGGTTTGGGGTTTTTTATTTCTCAAGTATTACAAAACAAAGGCTTTGCCTTGCATCCTGGACACGAAGAAATCCCGTCAGTTTATGGATCAAACTCGTGCTAACGATGGTGGCTTATTTCTTGTTACAGCTTAGAGATGTGTGAAACTTGACTCCTTGCCATACTGATGCAAGATGGCACCGTTTTTTACTCTATAAATGAAACGGGTGGTTTCGTCTTCATTGGCTTGATGACATTTTTATGGAAATGTTCCTTTCTCCCTCCCCAGTGTTCCCATCCTAGTGCTCGAAACAGCAGATGAGTGCCCCCCTCCCAGAAGCTGAGGATTACAGAGAGTTTGTACAAATTCCAGCTACTAATGTGCAAACAAAATGAACCAGCAAGATTCATGTTGGCAACCTACAACAAATGTTCCAGGCCTGTGTCACTATTTATTCCTATATTTATGACAACTTCTGAACAGAATGTGCCGGAGCCTTCCAGGAAGCAAATCCTGGCTGCGTCTGAGCAGAGCTCCTCGCGATCCGCGGCAGATTTCAGCGCCCCTTCACATCAAAGGTGCTGAACCTATGCCCTGGCCTCTCGGCAGAAACATCTTTAGCGCTAACGGGGAGGTTCTCCCAAACAAAACCACCTCTCTGGTGGCTCGCAGCCTCACTGTGCTTTCTCAGCCCTCGCCACTTACCTCAAGTAGCTCTGAAAGGCGTCGGAGCCTGCGAAGGGTTTCCCTTTAAGCTGTGCGCTGCAGACGGTGAGTCATCCTGCAGAACTCACAAGCAGTTTCACAAATACCAGATGGCAATAAAATTAAAAGTAGTAGCTAGTGGCAATTAAGCATTTGCTATAACCATTCTCCCTTCCTGACTGTAGGACGCTGCCAAATGTCTTTTTTTTTTTTTTAATGATTTTCTTCCCTTGACCAAAAAACCTCACAAACCACGTTTCTACAGAGTGGAAAATTAACAGAATACAGGACGCACACTTCCTTCCCTAGCCCGTAATCCCGTTTGGACTTAACTGGAAAGCTGTTTGCTGTATTTTGCACATCTCTAGGAGAAGATGAAGCAGAAAAAATACACAATAAATGAAAAACTGGGGAATTGTGTGAGCAGGTGTAAAAATAATTTCAGCAGCAGTGCTGGTAAACCCCCAAACCGGTTGCTTCTAGGCTCGCAGGATGTACCGCCCTTGAAACAAGATCACATTCAGGCATGCTGCGGAGCTGCTGGGACTTAGTTTGGACTTTTTGTTCTGTTTTTCTACTGCAGGCTGTTGCAAAGGATTTGCTCCACAAACTTGGAGTTCGGTAACGTAGGAAGCGTGTCCAAATACCATTGTGTTTGGCTCAGTATAAATAACAATGACTGCTCCCCTTCCTTTTCAGTGACTCTTGCTGCTTGGCATGCCTTGGATCTATCAGCGATACACAAACACTTATTAGTTTTTCAAGCCCGAGATGCTCTACCTCAGCCCTTCCTTCCGACGTATTACACACGCAGCATGTTTCATCCATTCTGTTATTTAAAAGTCACACGTGATGTGACCTTGCCAAGATTTTTTAGAGATAAATCTCTCTTAATTTATGCATACCTGGCCAGGAAGGATCTTTTTCATGATTCACGTTGCAGTAAGAAGCACAAATCTAGTTCTTCCTAACACGTAACCAACACAACACTTCTTTTTTCTTTCCCCATATCATAATGGATAATTAGTGCTTTATTTATAGTGAATCATATTAAATTGATCTTATCATTACTAGTTTTCACACGGTGCTTTAAGAAACCCTAAGATGTTTTCATGCTGCTTTTGGCACAGATGAGGAAAGGGTGAGGCCTAACCAGCTCCACATCACCGCTGCCACAAGCTACGGCATTTCTAGCCCTGTCCTGGCTGGGAGCGAAGCATCAGGGGCTGATGGGGCATCGCAGCAGCTGAGGACCCCAGGCCGGGGGATGCGAGAGCAAAAGGAAGACTGGCGCAGATGTAGGGGGTTTAAATCAACAGTTTCTCTTAGGAAGATCTACTAAATCCTAGTCTGATGCCAGCGAGTATTTCGTGTTGGTGATTGAGTAGCACCTCCCAGCCTGCTGTGCCACCTCTTCCTTAAAAAACACTTTAATCCCCTCAGGCCAGGAAGGCAGCAAACACAACAGCTTCTGAAAAGGAAGTATATGACTGGTAGAAAGACCAGAATTAGTGGATACATGGCTAACCTGATAAACGGAAAGGAGTTGGGAGAAGTCTTGCCTGGAAGACCTGTCAAAATCCCTTGAGTACGTCCTCAAACACAGGGGTGGGGAGAACAAGGTGCTACAGGACAGTCTACTTGAATTTCCAGGGGCTGTTCTATGGATAAGCACTTTGTGGAAAGCAGGTGCCAATTAAGAGGGAAGAACACAGCCTGGACAAATAACAGAGTAAAAGATTGGAAAGGGTGGGTTGGCATGACCAGTCACTTCTGATCATGGGTGGACATCACCAGTGGGAGCTTGCAGGGATCTTCAGCCCTCAGCATACCCTTACTCCTTCGGAGAGCAGAGTTTTGGCAAGTTAAAACCTGAGCTAAAAAACTGTAGGTATTTTACAGACCCTCCAGCTTTGGTGGTACTTGACTTTTACATCTTTACCAGTTACGTTACCATCTTTACCAGTTCTCCTTACTCATCGCCACCTTGCCTCCCATGCTGGCGGGCCAGCAGGTTTCCTGGAGCAGGTCACGCGTCTGGCACCGAGCTGTGGCACTGTTTGCTAGGCGAAAGGGACTGTATGCCTGTCAAGACAGCCCCAAAAGGAATTATTTAAGGAATACCAGTGATGCAAAGAGTTACCGCAATTGTCAATGTCTGGGTGAAACGCTGAAACACCCAGACACCAACCAACTTCTCCCAGGTCACACACAGTTCCTGTGTGAAGCACAGAACTGGAGGCGTGCCTGCAGTTCCCGAGCAGGAACTGCTTTGATATTTCTTTGCTTGGAGGATAAGATCGTGACGATGAAGGTTTATCTCATCGGAGCCATGCACTGCTCCTGGAGCAGCAGAAGAGCCCAGCTCAGCCCATCACACGCTGCAGACGAGGAGCTGCGTGTCCTCTGCTCGGCTGGCAGGTGGTTCAAACGCTGATCCTTCAAACATCCGTCTGGGCAACGTGGGCTTTTGCTCACCGCTTGCTGAGAAGGAACGCAAGATATTTGTTGTGCTCTATCTTGTCTCAGGTGTGATCTCATTCCTTAATCCATCTTCCCTTTCTATGTTTCAGCTTGTGAAGTCTCCTGGAGCGCTGTGGCCCCAACGTGCGCAGGATGGACCCCGTTGTTCTCAGTTACATGGACAGTTTGCTGAGGCGGTCGGACGTTGCCTTGCTGGAACCCCCAAACTGGCTTAACGATCACATCATCGGGTTTGCCTTCGAGTACTTTGCCAACCACCAGTTTCAAGAATTTAGCGATCAGGTTTGTTTTATCAGCCCCGAAGTGGCTCAGTTCATTAAGTGTGCCCTTAGTCAGGAAGAAATAGCCATATTCCTTCAACCTCTGGACCTTCTCCACAAGAAGCTGGTGTTCTTACCTATCAATGATAACTCCAACCAGGTCGCTGGGGGCACCCACTGGAGCTTGCTGGTTTATTTCAGGGACAAAAAGTGCTTCGCCCATTACGATTCCCACAGTAAATGCAACTCCATCCATGCCAAGCAAGTAGCAGGGAAGCTGGAGGCTTTCTTGGGAAAAAAAGGGGGCAAAGCAAGCTTTGTGGAGGAGAAGGCACCTGCCCAGCAGAACAGCTATGACTGTGGGATGTACGTGATCTGCAACACAGAGGCTCTGTGTCAGGGATACTTCAGGGGTTGGCCGGAGCCTCTGCTACAGCTCCTCACCCCCTCTTACATCACACAGAAGAGATCAGAGTGGAAAGCTCTCGTCACGAAACTGGCACAGAAGTGATCGAGATGCAGCTCCAGCCCCTCAAAAAAAATGCCTTCCCCGTCCATGAGGCAGCACCCCCAGTGCCTGAGGGAGATGCCCATGCGCAGGATTGTCCCAAAGAAGAAGAATGTAACCCCTCCAGCATGGCTACACCCCCCCCCAACACCCTGTTCCCTCCTGGAAAAGCCTTAGTGCCCTCTGGAAGTCACTGGCCTTTGAACTTCTAACGAGAAAAGTCACTGCTTTCAAAGAAATCCTCCTCTTGATGGTGAATTTTTACAATAATTGCTGTGGCAAAATGGCTAAAGAGACTTCTCTGCCTTTACCCAGCAGGCAACACACCCTCGTTAGGTGGCTTTAATTGGCACCGGGCATTGCTGTTCCAAGCCAGGTTTAGCAAATGCCTTTTAAAACCAAACCCCAAAATGCTTTATTGTGGCTGTTTCTGATCTGTGCCTCCCGCTAGTGGTATTTGAGCAGTCTGGGGTTAGCATCAAGGATTAAAAACCCCGATGCTGAAATGTCGATGTCAAAAGACGAGACTCCAAAGGAAATACTACAATTAATTAAAGAACAGGGCAAAATAATCAGTTTTCTTCAGATAGCTGCTCCTAGGTGGTACAGCGATAGCTCCTTTTTTTTGTCCACCCCCCTGCTTGCTCTTATTACAAATTAAAACCTGACTCTGAACTGCTGGAAGATTAATAGGAAGCTGAGAAACCCAATCCTAGGGAAGGAAACTTAATTGAGATGGAAAGTGACACTCACTCTTTGAAGGTTTGGGGTTTTTCATTACGATTAGGCCGTCTTCATTTGGGGAGGGTTCGTCAGCGCTCCCCAGTCCTCATTAGCGTTCGCCGCGCTCAGAGCCTACAAGGCAGTCGCTGCTTCCTCTAGCACAAAACCAGTTCTGTTACTTGAGATTAAAAAAAACACACCAGGGAGAACAAAAGGACAGAGTTTGAGGTACAAAAGCCAAAGATAACTGTGGTCTCCTTGAAGCCCAAGAAGTCCTTAACGCACTTCTAATCGAAACACTTTCCCTCCCGTGCTGGATGATGGCTGGGGTCTCGGAGCAGATCCTCTCGTTAGAAGACAGGCTTAGCGAGAGGGAAAATAAAAATTCGCATGAGATGTCGCTGCAGGATAAGGAATAATCTCTAACCGCGTGAGATCAAGGAGCAGGTTGCTCCGGTGGTGTCTAGCAGAGCAACCACACCCCAGCACTGCATCAGAGAAATCAAGGTTAAATACAACCCTTGGAAAAGGGGGAAGGATTGTTTTGAACCCGGAGCTCTTCACCCATCTTACTGGCAGCCCAGCCCCACCGCTGTGCGTACCAGCACAGCACCGAGGGTGAGGAACTGTAGGAAGGGTTTAAACTTCCCTGGTTGCCGAGAGAGAGGTAAGTAGCCACAGCCCAGGCTTTCCTGAAACAGCCAAGCAAACGCACACAGACAGCAGTGGGGCGGCACGAGGGTCGGGGTTGCTCCCTTCCTCTCTAGGCTGCCTGCACAAGAGCAGCCAGCAGACCAGGGCATCCCTCTGAGCGCCAGCCCTCCCTGGAAAACCACTTCCACTGCTCCGATGGAGCTGACATGGCACTGCGCTGCTCATCCAAGGGGATTTGCGTGGAGCTTTGCCGGAGCAACGTCACTGCCACCGCGGGAGGCTGCCTTTCTCCCAGGTCCGGAATAAAACTCAAACCAAGCTGTACACTCGTCGGCATCGTCCCATCTTTTTGTGAGGT